TGGGCCCCTCACCCCAAAAAGGCCATTGAATGACTCGAGCGTGGCCAGAGAAGGGCAACGGAGCTGGGGCAGGGTCTGGAGCACAGGTCTGCTGGGGAGCGGCTGGGGGAACTGGGGGGGTTCAGTCTGGAGAAGAGGAGGCTGAGGGGAGACCTCCTGGCCCTCGGCAACTCCCTGCCAGGAGGGGGCAGAGAGGGGGGATGAGTCTCTGGAGCCAAGGCCCCAGCGCCAGGCCCCGAGGGAATGGCCTCAAGCTGCCCAGGGCAGGGTCAGGCTGGCTCTGAGGAAGGATTTCTGTGCAGAAGGGGCTGTTGGGCGTTGGAATGGGCTGCCCAGGGCAGGGGGGAGTCCCCGGGATCCCTGGAGGGGTTGAAGAGTCGGGCTGAGCCAGTGCTGAGGGATCGGGGGGAGTTGGGAACGGTCACGGGGAGGGTCATGGCTGGGCTGGAGGGGCTGCGAGGGCTTTTCCAGCCGAGAGGATTATGGGGTTCTGTGATTCTGCCCGTGCAGCCGCAGGATGGAGCTCAGGCATGACGGGCACTCGCCCTGTGGCTGCCCCGGTGTGGGCCCATCAGCGAGGGGCACCGTGTCCCTGGGCTGGGACCCCTCCGGGCAGTGGGGGTGGGACGGGGCACCTGGGGGTTGGTGCTGTTGGGGGCTGGCAGCAAGGGAGCACATCTGACCTCCTTCTTCCTCCCACCCAGTCAACCTGTTGGGGCTGCTGAAGTGGCGCTCCAAGCCCAGCCTCCTCGCCGGGAACCTCCAGAAGCTGATGAACGTGGACGGAGGGGAGGTCATCAAGGTACGGCTGGGACCCTCCCTCCTGCCTCCCCCCTCCCCTGCCCCAGCGCTCACGTCCTGGCGTGTCCCTGGCGGCTGCTCCGGGGGGGTGGGCAGCAGGATGTGGAAGCACTGGGGTGTCCTGGCAGCCTGGCCCGGGAGCAGCTGTTGGAGTGGGGGGAGCCGCTGGACTGGGAGCACTGGGAGCACCCTGCACAGCCTCAGCGCCTCTTGCCCGGGGGAAGAGATGCTGCCTCTGCCTGTGGCTATTGCCCTGCTGGCCCTGGGGAGCCCCACTGGGGCTGCTGGGGCTGTGGTGGCTGCTGGGGGAAGCGAGCAGCAGGAGGGTCGGTGCCGGGGGACAGGCCAGGCCGGGGAGTCATGTTGTGGCAAAGGGCCGTTTGCCCAGGTGGAGAAAGGCTGAGGAGGGGCACGGGAGCTCTGTGCCTGGACAGGGCACTCCCGTGCCCAGAGGTGGGTCTGGGGCGATGCTGGGAGTTAACGCTTGAGCCCTCACAGTGCTTTTGTCTTCCTCAGTTCCTCCAGGACACGCTGGATGCCTTGTTCTCCATCATGATGGAGAATTCAGACACGGATGTCTATGACACGCTTGTCTTTGATGCCCTGGTAAGTGGGACCTGCTTCCCTGCAAGTGCTGAGCATGACTCTGAGCCCTCTGACAGTGCAGGATGGGCCCAGGTCAGACTGGGCAGGGTTTGAGATGGGGCTTTACTGATCTGGCCAGACCAGCCATGCTCAGAGCTGCGCTGACCCAGCATGGAGCAGGGACCCCCTCCAGGGGACAATTCCAGTGAGATTCAAGGGCGTTTCTCCTACCCTGAGACAAGAGTGACCCTGGTGACGGGCCTGGGGCAGAGCTGGGGTTGGGGCGGCTCTTGTGGAACACCCGGGCTGCGAGCCCTGTGCAGGCTGGCCATGAAGAGTCCTGCGGCCGCTGGGCTCAGGGCTCAATTCGGGCTTCCCGCCTTGGAGGTCTGTCTGTCCCGGCAGGCTGGGCAGGCGGGCGGGGGCTTTGGTGGCCCCAGCAGCTCCCACAAGGGGTCAATGCTGCTCTGGCTGCTGCTGCAGGCACCCGGCGTCCTGCTGCCCACGCTGAGCCGTGCCCGCTGCCCGCTCCCCCCAGGTTTTCATTGTGGGACTGGTGGCCGACAAGAAGTTCCAGCATTTCAACACCGTCCTGGAGGCCTACATCCGCCAGCACTTCAGCGCCACGCTCGCCTACAAGTGGGTACCCAGCGGGCGTGGGGGGGCCAGGGCCGGCGCCTGGGCAGCACGGCATGGCTGCGTGGCCACCGGACACCCTGCTGAGCCCCGTCCACATGCGTCCCCATCCCACAGGAAGCTGATCTCAGTGCTGACACAGTACGTGGACCACGCGAGCCCTGCGAGCCGCTCATGCGCACCTTCAAGGCCTTGGAGTACGTCTTCAAGTTCATCGTCCGCTCCCGGCACCTCTTTGCCCAGTAAGTGCCAGCGATTGATCCCACTGGGCCGGGCACCACGCTCTGCCAGGCTGTTGCAGGGGCACCCCTGGGGATGGGGTCTGCGGGAGGGAGGAAAGGAAAGGACCCCCCAGGGGTCCCTGCGCCATGGGAGCCGTGTCGTGCTAACGCGTGTTGTGCCAACCGCTGGCCCCAGGGATGTGGCACTGGCTGCTCGGTTTGGGCGCAGCGCCCAGGGGTGGCACCCGTGGCTCCCAGCACGCTGCGGACGTGCTGCTGCACGGGCCGGTCCCCAGCCAGGCTCCCCTCCACCACCGTGCTCCCCACCCTGAGCTTTCCAGCAGATTTCTGCTGCAGGTTGTGCTCTGGTTGGTGCCGGAGCTGTCGTGGTCTGGCGCAGAGGGAGGGAGGCAGTGCTGCATCTGGGTGTGGGAGAGCTCCCACCGTGGCAAGACGGGCGCTGTCACACAAAGCGCTCCCTGCGTTTCCCAGCATTTGCGAAGCGCGTTGGTGGCGATAGCGTGGAGCAGGCCAGCAGTTTGCTGCCGTCAGGCCAATTGCCGCCAGTTCGTCCGACCAGGAGCCGTGGTGCAGGTGAGAGCGGCTCTGGTGCCGTGGTTGCAGGGTTGCCCACGAGCCCTGGGCTGGCACGGAGCCCACGCTGCCCGCTCGCAGCCCCAGTTGCTTTGCACTGGGAAATGCACGGCTGCTTTGTGCCCCGCGAATGCAACCACCATGTGGAGGGGCCTGCAGCCACGTCCTGCCTGAGGCACCAGCTCTGAGGGGGGCTGTAAGAAAGAGAGAGACTTCTGACTTGTCCTGTAGTGAGAGGATGAGGGGTAATGGTTTTAAACTGAAAGAGGGCAGATTTAGGTTAGATCTAAGGCAGAAATTGTTCCCTGTGAGGGGGGTGAGGCCCTGGCACAGGCTGCCCAGAGAAGCTGTGGCTGCCCCCTCCCTGGAAGGGTTCAAGGCCAGGTTGGACGGGGCTTTGGGCAACCTGGGCTGGGGGAAGGTGCCCCCATGGCCGGGGAGTGGGACTGGATGATCTTCAAGGTCTCTTCCCACCCAAACCCTCCTGTCACCCTGTAATAAGCAGTGGAAGGGGCTGGGAGCCTCGACGCCTCCTTGTTGCTGCTGAGGAGAAGGTCAAAGTCGCCCCCAGCCACCTCCAGAGTCCTCCTGGGACCTGGTTTTGTTCGTTCCCGTGGGCTCGGGGTTCCCATCCTCATCTGCGCTATGGGACAAACAGGCCTCCCCTGGGCAGGCGTGGGTGAGCCCGTCTGCGCTGCCAGGCTGAGGTGGAGAACTGGAAACGGCCCCTTAGAGTTATCAGAAAAGCAAGTGACGTTCCTCTTTTGTTCCAAGTACGCGACGCCGAAAGCTGAAGCGCGCGGAGGCAGCGCGGGAGGTGAGGAGCCGCGCAGGGTCCCGGCGCCCGCGGGGGCTCTCGGCCCTCACGTGGCCCCGCTCTGTCCCTCTTTGTGCCAGGCGGGTGCTCCCCGCGCCGCTCGCGGGTCCCCTCTCTCCTTCCTCGTCCGTCCTGCCCGCCCGCCCTGCCCGGGGTCTCCTTCCTGGCTGGGCAGCTGCCCCACGGCACCGACCTCCTCCTCATTCATGAAAATACAGAGCAAATTCCCCAGCTTATAGAGCTTCTGGCAGAGAAAATTAATTATATGGAGCATTTGCAAACAGCCCTGTGAATTAGTTTGCATTGGAATGAAGACATCCCTGAAGACATTTAGTGTTTTTATTCATCTTCCCTTTATCTTAGTGATCTTAACAGTGCAGTAACACGGACTCCTCAGATCTTCTAAATACTTTAAACGGTGCTACAATTTGTACACAGTCTATAATTTAAAGAAATTAGATTGTAATTATAATAAGTTACTGCAGATTGCTGTATCTATTTGATTATGTGTGCTGCTGCTGGAATTGCATGAGCAGCTCAAGTAGCTTGTACGAGGATCCCAGGTTGCTGCGAGGATGGTCAGAGCGGGGCCCGGCCGGTGGTTCATTGCCCAAGACACTCAGGCAGCTCCACGGCCACTGTGTGGGGAAGGGGCTCCCGGACCCCCCTTGGCCCGGGAAGGGGCTAGATCCTGGCACTGCCCGTGGGGGCTCTGTGCCCAAAACGTACTTTTCTGCAGGGAGAGGCTGTGCTGCTTCTCCAGCCACGCTCCCCTTCGGCTCCCCACGCACGGCGCTGGGGGCTGGAGGGGCCCCTCCACCCTTCCTGACATCGGGGACCTCTCCCGTCGCCTCCCATAGTCCCCCCACATCCCCTCACAGCCCCTTGGCACACGGTGACGTGGTCCCCGCTTGCTGCTTCCTCCCTGCCAGTTCCTCTGTCTGCTTCTGCTTTTCAGTTGCCACCGAGGGGGGTGAAGGTTTCCTGAAAGCATTTGTCGTAACCCCGGGGCCCGCCCCGCAGGGGGGGTCCTCTCTGGCCGGCACGGGGGGAGCCGGGGTCACTTGCCCTCGTCAGCACCCCTCTGCAGCCGCCCGGTTCCTGCAGCCAGCCCCTCGCTCCAGCAGCACCGTGGGCTCCACCGTGCCCTGCTTGTTCCTTCCCGTGTCCCCGGGGCAGCCCCGCGAGCACCGGCCCCTGCCTACCCTCTGCCCTCCAGCCAGGGACCCCACGGCTGCTGGGTGTCCCCACTGGCCCCGTCCCGCGGGAACTTGGCTGGGGTCCCCAAGGGCTGCCGGCCCCACCGAGGTCTGAGGTGCAGAGGGTTCTCAGGCAGCACAGCCCTCCCCAGGACCGCGCCGACCCTCCTGGGTAAATCCCCTCCCACACAGGTTTTACCGCAGTCTGTGCCAATTTGCTTTCCGAGCTGGTGGCCAGACAGTTTTTCCTGCTGCTTCACTGACAGCACTCGGAGGATTTCGGTGCCATCCTTCAAGCTCGGCTGCGTGCTGGAGCCTGGTGCTGCAGGGACCAAGGCGGGACTGCGCCCGGTGTCTTTACACCCAAGAGGTGTCGGGCCCGGGGAACGGGCTTCGCATTGATGAAATCCTCCAACCCAACGGGTCAGCGTTAAATTAAAGACCATGTCTGCCCTGATCTTGCCTTGAGTGAGCTGCACACGCCCACTGCTTTATACTGCTCTGCTTTGAGTCATTACACGCTCAAGAGTTCAGAAACTGGGGCTGATGATATGCCTTGGAATTGTTATAATAGCATATGGTATTCGTGCATGCCCTCTTTAAGGTAAAAATGCAGAATTTTGTAGGCAAGACGTGAGGGGAGCTTGAAAATCCACGCCAGTCAGTTGTGGGTAGATGCATCAAACAAATCCCTAAGAAATTATGATCGTCTCACAGTATCGTTGCTGTGAGAGTAAAAGCTCTCTCACATCCTTTTGCTGATTTTAACACACAGAGACTCTGTTAAATTTCCCGGGCTGTGGCGGGGCCTTGGCCCAGGCAGGGCCACGGGGAGGCGGGGGGCTGCGGGGGCTCCCACTCTGCAGTAACTTTTAACGTGCAGGACCCTTCTTGGGTCAGCCTGAGCTTTGTCTTGGCGTGGGGGGCGGCGAAGGGCTGTAAAGCAGCCGCTGCTCAGCTGACGCGTTTGTCTGAGCTCATCTGAGGCGCCTCGGGCAGACCAAGGGGCTCCTTCCACCGGCAAAGCTCCGAGCCTCCACCTGTGCCCTGGGGTTCCTCTACCGGACAGGAGGGATGAGTTTGAACGGGGAACTATCCAACTGTAATTTTAGAAAACAAAGCCACAAAGTTTTTACAAAAACCAGCCTCAGTAAATACAGCTGGTAAGCAAAAAATGACAGATCTTGTTTGTTCTGCTGCTGTACGCACCATTAGAAACCATTACACAATTAAAAGCCGAACAGGTCGTCCTGTGGCGGTGGCAGTCGGTGTGCAGGGGCCAGGTCGGGCTGGAGGATGTGTCTGGGTTTTACCCCTCATTCCCCAAATCCATGCATGTGGCCATTCCCCAGCAGAGCTCACGGCGCTGTCCCCTGTGTCAGTGGCCGGGGTGAATCGGCTCCGATACCACCCGTGTCTCACAAGAAGTTACTGTGGTCGCTATATTCTTCCGATTCTGCACTTGACTGGCAGCTGTGAAACCTTCTGGCAGTTTTGCACCTCTCGTGGCTGAAATCCCCCAAGGGTTTGGTTTGTTCTGTGACTGGTCACGCAGGTTGTGTTGAGACTGGAGGGTGCAGGAAGTTTACGGCTCAGGTGGGAAGAGGCTCACCTCCTTTGAGAGGGCTTGGGTGTGTAAAATCATGTAAAAGAATCTATTTTTTAAAAAAAAGTATATATGTAAGTATGTATAAGGGGTGTATACAAGTAAGGCAGCAGATAGAAGTCTTTAATACAGGTAATCCCGCACAGTTGAAGCGCTGAGTCTGGCTGGCCCTGGGGCAGTGGCCAGGGCTTGCTTCTAGACCCAGCTGTGAAAAACGGTCACTGAGGAGAGTAATTAACTGGGATCCCAGGTGACCCCGTCGGAGCCTGCGCGGGCGGCACGGGGTGGTTGTGGTGCCACGCGGTGACTCTGCCTGTTGCAGGCTCTACGAGGGGAAGGAGACGGCCGAGTTCCAGCGCTCGCTGCAGCGGTTCTTCCTCTCCCTGAACCAGCTGATGAAGTCCCCGCTGGAGGGTCCCACGCTGCTCTCACAGGTACGGCGGGGCCGGTGCTGCGGGGGGACTCAGCTCTGGCACGTGGCAGGATGGGTGGCGCCGGCTGTGCCTGTGCCAGGGTGACACTGGCTGTCCCCATGCTGGGGTGACACCAGCTGCCCTTCATGCCCCGTATGGTGCCTCGCTCTCCCAGAGACCCCCACCCCGACACCCCGGCCCACAAAACCCCACGTTGCACTGGGGCCGGGGGCTGCGGCGCGGGTTTGGGTCAGCACCTTGGTGCTGCTGGGCAAGCACTCTCCCGCCTGTGCCTGTGCCAAAGCCCAGAGAGGAGGGTCTCAGGAGGGCTCGTCCCCATCCTGGGGCTCCCTATGGGCTGGCACAGGGGCACCAGGGGGAGCAGAAACGGTGCCTTTCGCACTGGGGGCCCGCAGGCATGGCTGCATCCTTTACCTGTGTCAAGGCCCTGCAGCTGCCAGTGTGACGGTGCCGGGGGCCAGAACTGAAGGGAGAAGGCGCTGGAGCCCCGGGCCCTCTGCGGAGACGCTTGGCGGGTGGAGGCGGGAGCTGGGGGGTTCCCAGGGGTGGGGCTGGGGCCACACTCTGCACCCGTGGTCCTGCAGAGGTGACTTTGTCTGTGGGCCAGGACACACGGTGGCAGCTCCTGTTCCAGCTCCGCATTATTTTGTGACATTCTTACATAATCCCTTATAAACTAATCTAAAAAAAGAGCAGTTTGAAGACCATGACGACAGCTATCCTCACAGAGAGGAGGGGGGCTGTCCCACACTGACTCCAGTTTCCATCGTGGTGCCGTGGCTCTAGAGACTCTGCTGCAGCAGCCCCACGCGCTGCAGCGTTACCCACTGCTGCTCATCCTCCTGGGCGGGTTCTGCCCTCTGCAGCACCTCCTGCAGCTCTGCAGGAAATAATTCCTGCAAATGCATCCTGGCAGAGCAGCCTCCATCCAGCGCAGAGGGGAAGGGTCTGCCTGCGGGACAAAGCCCACGCCTGGGGTCCAGCTGAGGCCAGCCAGGCCACACCTGGAATCCTGTGCCCAGTTCTGGTCCCTGCTGTGCAAAAAAACTGCGGCCAGGCTGGAAAGGGCCCAGAGGAGGGACACAGGGATGATCGGGGCCTGGGCCGCCCTGTGAGGACAGGCTGGGAGAGCTGGGTTTGTTCAGCCCTAAGAGAAGGCTCTGGGAGACCTTAGCACCATGTTCCAGCATTTACAGGGTGGCTACAAAGCAGGTGGAGGCTCCCTTTGTACAAGGAGTCCCCTGGAAAGGTGAGGGGTGATGGGTATGAGTTACTCCAGGGGAGATTCTGACTGGACATGAGAGGAAAGTTTTCCCAATGAGAACAATCAGCCACTGGAATAACCTCCCCAGGGAAGCCAGGGATTCCCCAGTATTGGATGGTTTTTAGGTTCAGCTGGACAGGGTACTGGGCCAGCTTGGCTAGTCTGCGTTTTTGGCAGGAAAGGTTGGACCAGCTGATGCGTGAGGCCCCTTCCAACCTGGCACTCGATGGCTCCGCGATTCCATTTCCTTACGTACTTTTGTGCTGCTGTGGCTTTGGAGCAGGATCCCTCAGTCTGGGGCGAGGACTCGGGAGCAGCCTGCAGGAAGCTGAATCACAGAATTGTCTGGGTTGGAAAAGCCCTCGCAGCTCCTCCAGCCCAGCCATGACCCTCCCCCTGACCGTTCCCAACTCCCCCAGATCCCTCAGCGCTGGCTCAGCCCGACTCTTCAACCCCTCCAGGGATCCCGGGGACTCCCCCCTGCCCTGGGCAGCCCATTCCAACACCCAACAGCCCCTTCTGCACAGAAATCCTTCCTCAGAGCCAGCCTGACCCTGCCCTGGGCAGCTTGAGGCCATTCCCTCGGGGCCTGGCGCTGGCTCCTTGGCTCCAGAGACTCATCCCCCCTCTCTGCCCCCTCCTGGCAGGGAGTTGCAGAGGGCCAGGAGGTCTCCCCTCAGCCTCCTCTTCTCCAGACTGAACCCCCCCAGTTTCCCCAGCCGCTCCCCAGCAGACCTGTGCTCCAGACCCTGCCCCAGCTCCGTTGCTCTTCTCTGGCCACGCTCGAGTCATTCAATGGCCTTTTTGAGGTGAGGGGCCAACACTGAACATGATGAGGCCCAGACTCAGTAGTTTGCCCCCGTGGATGCTGCTGCCAGGTTTTCAGATCTGACCACACTTTCTCCTGGAAACAGCCAAATTCTGCCGTGGGATCTCGGCTGCCAAGCAGCTCCTCTCCCTGTGGAAATCACTCTTCTGGTTGATATTAACTTTGTTAGAGAGAGCAGGAGATACCAAAGCTCTCTGGAAGATCTGTGCTTGGACTTGATGATCCCAAGGGTCTTTTCCAACCTGAACGATTCTGTGTGACTGATCTCTGCTGTTTTCTTTAGGCCATGTCCTCCTTGGAAGCCCCCTGGCCCTTCCTCAGGGATTGCTGGAGTCTCAGGCGGGTCTGGGTGCTGCAGCCATGCTCTGTAGTGGGCTGCGGTGTTGTGCAGTAGTGGGACTCAATCCTTCAGGGACCTTCCCTCTGCTCCCGTCTCTCCTGGGTGGGAATACCTGTGCTCAGAGATCTGTCACCGCTCGCTGGCTTGGCAGTGGCTCTGTGGGGGTGGCCGAGAGGGGAACTCATCGCAGCAGCGTGGGGCGGCATCAGGGTGGATTCTCGTTGATCTCCCCCAGGTCATTTTTGGGCATTGCTTTCCGACTTTCAATTTGCCTGTTTTGTCAACGCAGCTTGTGTTTGGTGTTTCTGGGCATGGCTTTGTGCTCAGCCTCATGGCAGCCCCTGGTGTCACCTCTCCCGAGCATGGTGTCAGCCGGGTCTCCTCCTCGCCCTCACTTCTCCTCCTTGGTGCTTGCTGCCAGCGCTGCTGTTCTGCAGCTGTTACAGTGACGGGGTTTCTCTCATGTCACCAACAAAGTGTTTTGCTGGGGGAGAGAGTACACAGGTGAAATTACTTGGTGTGGAGGTGAAAAATCAGAAAATGGTCTTAGAAGTGAGAAATCCCTTAACTTCAAATGCATGGTGATGTGTTCCTGGCTGACCAACATGCTGGTGGGTGAGACCTAGGACTATAACGGACAGTGCTCTGGGATCGTCCGCTCCGTGCTGGCACCGATCAGGGAATGCTCACTCAAGGTTGGGAACTGTCAGGAAGGGACTCGAGAAGAAAACGGAGAATGTCCTTTGGCACAGCATAAGTCCCTGTGGCGTGTCTGTGCCCATGCTTGGGGGCGTGCAGCCGAGCTGGAGAAGCCCCAGCGAAGGGTGACCGGGCATATGGGGCAGCTTTCCAGTGGGGTCACCTACCTGGCCATCCCAGACCCCTCCATCATCCTGGAGGGGACGAGCAGGGAGATGGGGCAGGGAGCTGCAGGTCCGCCTCTGGTCTGGAGAGGGGGGGTGGGCAATGGAGATGGTCACTCAAGGTCTCTCCTGACTCAGGGGGGAGTGTCTCAGCAAGGGCCGAGCTCGTTCATCCGCTGCGCAGTGAAGCTGCCGAGCCCCTCATGACGGTCTGTGTCTGCTCCTGGCAGCCACCCCGGGTGCTGAAACTTTGTTCAAGTTTGTTCGTAAAACTGCCCCCCCCCCCCCAATTATGTTGCTATAAAGACATTTTTGACTCAAGAGGCCCTGACCTTGGCCCTGACCCTGGGAAGCACCATGGCAGGCTTGTGAGCCAGCAGGATCCTGTCCTGTCCCCTGCCCAGCCCCCGGCTTCGTGCTGCCCTGTTTTGCCAGTTACCAGGCCTGGCACAAAGGACACAGCCAGCATAAAGATGAACCAATAACCAGATTGTGCTGGACACAGAAGGGTCAGTCCATGGGTGAGTGCTGGGGGCACAAACAAGCCTATCAGGTCATACATCATTGACATCAATCCCAACGACACTGCACAACCAGCGACAGGGGCAATAAACAGGGAAATAGAGTCTCCCAGAGAAGAGACGGGAGACAACCAGGGCAACAGCCCAACACATCAGACCAAAGAAGCCCCATCATGAACACAGCCCATGTTTACAAAAGCCAGACCTGAGTGGAGCCCAGTCCCAGGGAGGCGGGAGGTCCTTCCCCAGCAGGGAACTCTGCATAGGGCATCCCCCTCACACACAGACACTGCCCCTCCTGCGAGGGGTCCCCGCTGTTATCCCCAAGTGGGACACCTGACCCTTGTTTACTCAATGCAGGACACCTGGGACACATTTACCCAAGGGCTCTGTCTGCCAGGCCCCACCCTGGGGGGAAGCCTAAAGGGAGACTCACCCCCCTTGGGAAGGGCTGGGGGAATCACCCAGATATCAGCCTTAATGTGGGGCTGGGGCTCTCCAGAGGGGCCCTGGCACCCTGACCCCAGGCCTCCAGTGTCCCACGCTGGTGTCCGCTGGCTCTCGCTGCACCCAGCCCAGACAGCGTGTCCTGAGCACCTCGGGCAGGTGCTCCGAGGACAGAACTTCTCCCCGTGTTCCCTAAGTGGGCTTGTGCAGACCCCCGCGTCTGCGGCCCTGACGGCAGCTCCGCCTGGCAGCTGAAGGCGAGACCTGAAGGATCTGTCCACGCCTGACGCAAGCTGTGCAGCTCCATCCTGTTCTGCCTCCTCCTGCCACTAAGGCTGCAATTATCTGATCAGCCCGAGGCAGGGCTGATAATAGCTCCTGAGCTGCAGCACTCCTGCAGAGGCCACCTCTCCTGTGGGGAGAGCCAGTTCTCCCTTGGACTGCTTCAGGCTGGGAGGTTTTGTGCTATTTTGACTGCTCGGGGCTGTGGAGAGGAGGACGAGTCTCTTGGCTCCGCTTGCTGGTGTGGACAGACGGGGGCCGGGACGGACGGGGCCCGCGGCCGTGTCCCCCTGCTCGTCCCTGGGAAGGACAAAGCCGGTCCCCTCCGCGCTGGGCAGCAGGGCAGGCTGGAGCCCAGGGACTGCCCCCGCCTGCTGCGGCCCCTCGGGGCTTCGGGTTTGCGTTGGGATGTGGCGGCCGGCTGGGCTGGGCTCAGGGGTGCCTTTTCCCGAGGGGGTGCTCGCCATCACCCCAGGGTCGGAGCTTCCCTGGGGTCGCTCTGACTCTGCCCCGGCGGCTGCCGGCGCGCGGGTGCGTTTCTGCAGGGCATCTGGTTCCAACAGGCATGGTCACGGTAGCGGGGAAGAAATCGGACACAATTTGTGTGTCATAGCCTGGCTGACACGCTCTTGCCACAAAAAATCAGTGCGAGGGGGCTAGTGCTCCGTGGTGAACAACGTTTTCAGTTCTGCAAGGCCAGGCAGCTACCTTGGCAGTTACAGTAAAAGCCAGAACCAGTTTCTGGAAGAAATCCTCTATGAGATGCTGGTGCCCATGTCTAAGAAGTCTTGTAACACTGGAAAATTCCTTGAGGAATGAGAAAAATTCTGTAGTATCTCATTTTTCAAAAAGTGAATGAGATGACCTTGCTGACTGTAGACCAGAGAGGCTGTTGGTTCTGGCTCAGTCGTGGAGAGGATGCAATCAATTCAGAGTTAAAGGGTGGCAGAATAATTAATGCTAATCAGTCCAGCTTTACTAAGCATGGAGTTTAATAAAAGAAAATCAAATTTAGCTGTTACTTTTTTGAAGTTACAAATGTGACTGACTAAGATAACTGACATAATAGGCGAGACTAACAACTGCTTGACTCGATACAGCATTCTAATTTAAAATTAGCATTGTGTAAGTTTATTAAAATAACTACTTTTAATCTCTTTAATATACATCTTCTCAGTTCTAAAAAAAAGCCATTACAAGCGAAGAGCTGTCGTGCAGGGCCGGGCATTTCTTTGGGTCCCGGGGAGCTGGCTCTGGGCTCAGCCATCTCTCCGTGCTCGCTGAGGCCTGGCGGGGCCCCGGGTGGAGCTTTCAGTCGGGGCCGAGGGTCTGCCCTGCCCGTCAGCCGCCCAGCGAGGGCTCAGAGCCGAGCGGAGGTTTCGGCTCCGCTGCAGGGTGCTCCCGGGGCAGATCCTGCCGGGACTTGCCTGGCCTCTGCCCGTGCTCACGTGGTCCCAGGGGGGTGGGCAAGGGGAGCTTGTCCAGGTGCTGAGGGTTAAACTTTTAGAGCAATGTAGCGATATTATGCTTAGGTCAAGGTGTTTGTTGTCTGTGTTAAAGCCAAAGGTGTCTCGAATGAGCAGAACAAGATCAGCTTCTTTGAGCAAGGACATCCTGAGGCCCTTGGACCTTGCAGAGGGTCCGTTGCCAACTGGGCAAGCAAACTCAAGGTCCGTGTGTCCTTCACTCAGCCACCCTCATTCTCATACTAAAGATCACACCTGTAGTTTAAGAAGAGCCTTGCCCAAGTGAAGCCCCTTCCCCTGAGTGTGTGTAGCAGTAGAAGTGTCGTGTCAGCAGTATTATAATTATATGTAAATTATCAACCAATCATCATAGAGAGGATGGGCTTAGAAAATTACTAACTCTGCAAGTTTTGTGTATAAATACAGCACGGAAAGTCCTGTTGGTGTGCTGGATTTGTGGGAAACCACTGAGCCCCCAGGCTCGTGCAACCTTAAAATAAATAAGCGACATCTCTCCTGGGTGGGTGATTCTGGGGCCATGAATCTGCTTTTCAAACCAGGTGGATTTGCAGCAGGCCCCAGTCTCTTGCTGTCGCTCAGAGGCAGGCGGCGGACTCGATGCCGAAACCGCTGGGTGCAAACACCCGGAGCTGTGGGGCCCGTGCGGCTCCAGGGGCACCGAACCTCCTGGAGGTGCTGTGGGGGCACGGGCGGGGGTCTCCGGCACTTCTGGAACCCGGGGGGATCCCAAAGGACCCGCTCCCCTGGCAAAGCTGGAGGTAAACGGGACTCAGCCAGTCGTTTGTGGCGCTCAGCTGCGTCACAAACACGGTGAAGTAGATTTTCACACAGAACGATCTGTGGCCGGTGTGTTCCTGTCCCAAACCAAAGAACCAGCCGTGCCCCGGGCTGGGTGCGGGGCGGCTGCCGGAGCCGCCGGCGGTCTGAGGGGTGACACAGGTGGGGACCATGTCCCTGATGGTCGCGCTGTAGGAGTCTGGTTGGTTTCAGGGTGCAAGGTACAAGCTGGGGACCCTCCCTGACAGTGGCGGGGTGTGACTGTAGCGGTGCCGCGTGCTTCGCTGGGGGCTCGGCAAGAGAAAGCTGCTCCCGGCTGGACACCCCTTCCCGGGGGGTGGGGGCCAGGCTGGGCACGCTGCTGCTTTAACAAGAGGGGCTCAAGCGAGGACAGTGCTGGCTCACAACCCGGGGGGAGGCAGCAGGGGCCAGGGTCACCTCCCTGCCTGCACAGCATCCGTCTGTCTGTCCGTCCGCCCTGCCCGCGTGGCTGCACAGAGTCAGCTCTCTCCTCTCTTCGCAGGGAGCAGCCCTGAAGTACCTGCCTTCCATCCTCGAGGATGTGTTTGGGATCTTCGACTCCTCTGCTCTGGGGTAGGGTCCCCGCCCCCCCCCGTCCCCCCCAGCCCTGCCGGAGCAGGCACCTCTGCCCCTGCTCCCCTCCCGCGGTGACACGGGCCAACACTGCTGAGCCAAGGGCGAGGGCAGGTGGAGAGGTCGGGGTTTCCTGATGCCGGGGAGTTGCCTCCTCATCCCCAGGGGAGGGTTTTGCTCAGTTTGAGCTTCAGGCAGGGGCTGAGCCTGGAAACCCTCAGCCCTGGCTGTGTCCCCTTCGGGAACCCAGGCAGACCCAGGCAGGGCCTTTATGCCGGGTGTCTCCCGGGGTGGTTTACACAGGGGCTGCCTCGTGGCCCTGTGCGGTGGGAGCGTCCTGCCCCACGCCCCTTGCACAGCTCTATGCTCTTCGAGTGGCCCTCCCAGCCTGGCAGCCCCTTCCCGACCGAAACACAGCGGCAATTGGCCCCCAACCCCCTTCTGCCTCTTCCGCAGAAGGAACGGGGCTGGTGCTCAGAGCTGCAAAACCAGGGGGTCTCTGGCAAGCCCCGTGTTTAACGCTCACTCAATCCTCTGCCTGGCTGGCAGGGCCTTGCTTCGGGACTTCATCGGGAACCTGCCGGCCCAGCGCCTGCTGAAGCAGAAGCTGCAGTCCCTGACCGACATTGTCAACAGCAAGATCTTCCAGTGCTACGGTGAGGGGGGGCACGGGGGGTCCTGGTGGCACTTGACCCAGCACTGAGGGATCTGGGGGAGTTGGGAACGGTCAGGGAGAGGGTCATGGTTGGGCTGGAGGAGCTGCGAGGGCTTTTCCAACCTCCGGGATTCTGGGGTTCTGTGAAAGCAGAGCTTGGGAGGAACGCCTGAAGGCTCAGGGCAGGAAAGGGCACAGGGGAGATGCAATGAGCTTCTAGATATCCACCCGGCATCACAGGAGAGGGGGAGTGGACTGCCCTGGGAGCTGGGCCGGGGGCCCTGGGTTTCAGGCACAGCAGGGTGCTCCGGGGAGCAGCTGAGCTGCAGGCAGCAGGAGCCCTTTGTCTCTGTCCGTGGAGGCTTTGAGCAGCGTGAATGTTGTCTCACTCGGCCGTTGAGGTCAAGTCACCTCCTGCCGCACAGCCCGGCCCTGCTCTGAGCCTCCACAGTCCTATGAGTGCCCCCCGGTGTCCTTCCCTGCATCCCCCCGCGGGTCCTGCCCGGGGCCCTCCCCGTGCTCCCCGGGCCCGCACAGCCCCACTCCTCCACACCCGCCACAAGCAGACAATAAAACAAAAAGCAACGTTTCTGCCATGGTCCCTCCCTCAGTCCCCGCCAGCGCTGAGCAGCAGCAGGGCTGTCGGCCGGTGTCACCACCCCGGGCAGAGCCGCAGCCGCAGGGGCAGCGGGTTGTCACAGTCAGCCCTAGAGACTCCAGTTTACTGGAGGGGGTCCAGTTTGAAAGTCTCCGTCTGTTAAATCTGAAGCGCCTTTAGCAGAGCAGAGAGGCAGAACAAAGCTCACTGGTGGAAGCTGAAGCAGGAGAGGTTCAGATGAGGCTTTTCTATTTTATTTTGCTTTATTTTAGTAGAGAGGGTAAGTAGCTGTGTAACAGTGTGCAGCGGATTCTCTGTCCTGGAGCCTTCCTGCCAGGATCTGATGTTTGTCCAACAACTCTGCTCCATCCGAGGAGGGAGTTGACAGCTCCATGTGTGTGGGTCACAGCCCAGACCAGGTGTCGTGCTGGTCCCATCCATCCCGTTGGTCCCTTTCCTGCCCCATCCTCTGGTGCTGGGGTGGTGCCAGCCCCCACCAGCCCCCTGCCTGCCCCAACAGAGTGCCGGGAGCTGCTGCTGCAGACAGCGGTGCCCATCCTGCAGGAGCTGATCGAGAAGGGAGAGGAGGAAGACGCCTGCATTGAGCTGCTCAGCAACATCCTGGAGGTGCTGTACAAGGCCCAGAAGGTAAATTCCATCTTCTCTGCTGCTTCCATTTCCCTCTCCAGCAATGACCTCGGAAGGGACCCGACTAAACCCATTTGAGTGGGGTTAAGCACAAATTATTGGCCATGACACAGTTAGGAGTGATTGTGGTCACCCACAGTCAAAGGGGGCTGTTGGTGCCCACCAGCCCGGTGGGAACCTGCCCAAGATGGGGGTAAAAACCTGTTGGTTTCTACCCTGGCTGCTCTGTGGCGATTCCCATTGGTCCCTGTAGGCGGGGAGGAGGCCCCCGGTGCACTGGGGTGCATCGCCGGCCGTGCCTCGTGCTAGCCCAGCTCTGCAGACCCAGGAGGAAGGCAAGGGCAGGGCTGAAGGCAGATGGTCCGCGGTTGCCCGCTGGCCCCTGGGCAGCGTCGCACTCCAGAATTAACAGTGATGGCCCTAAACGTGTGCCCGACCACCCGACTCAGCCCAGGATGGTCCAGGGGGGATGGGGTTGTCCATCCTGGGTGTCCCCCTGATTCCCCGGGGCACTGCTTGTTGTAGAGAGCGGAGGAGCTGCGAGCGCAGCGTGGCACAGGCGAGGGACAGCACAAGGACCGCGGGGACACAGAGCTGGTGAGTGCCCCTCTGGCAGGCTGTGGCGCTCGGCATGAGGGAGCCAAGTGCCCCTGCGCCTTCAGGGAGGGCTCCTCTGTGCCTCCGTCCCGTGGCAAACCCCCTACAGTTGCCTGGAGCCAGCGCGCAGAGCCCGCGGTGCTGGGGTCAGGCCTGGAGGTGGCTCTCAGGGCTGGGAAGCTGGGGGTCTGCGTGGCTCTAGGCTTGCTGTGAGCCCCCAGTGCCCTGTGGCCCCCCGTTGTGGGGGCGTCTGTGCCCAGACCTTCGCCCTGGCCCCCCGCAGCCTCTGCGCTTCACTGTGTGGGATGGGTGGGCTTGGGCTGCTCCAGCTCCTCTCAGGCAAGGAGTGAGCGAGGTCTCGGGGCTCTCGGGGGCACAGAGCTGCAGGGTGACCTGGTGACACCCCCAGTGCAGCAGGCGAGGTGTGAGCAGGGCGTGTGGGCCCTCCAGAGCTGGTCGTGGCCCTGACAGCATGCCGGTGGCCCCACTTGGCCCAGTGGACTTGCTGCTCCCCAAGCTCTGGAGCCATGTGGGGCCATGCAGACGTGGCCACATTGCTGGGGCAGCTCTGGTTGAGCCGATCCAGGGACGAAGGGCGGCTTCTGCTGGAGCGCAGGAAGGGTGACGTGGGGGCTCGCAAAGCTGGGAGCAGTGTATGAAAGCCAGAGCACAGCTGGTGACAAATGGTGGCCCTGATGGCGTGGCCACTGGTCACGGCTCTTGTAGGCTCTGCCCGGGACACGCGGGTGTTTGGGCTGAGCACGTGGACGTCACAGGCACATGGACAGTCCTCACACGACGGCTCTGGCAGCTCCCTCCTGGGTCTCCCTCCTCCTCCTCATTTCTGGGTGCAGACGCCCACAGGGATGATGCTGTTGCCTGCACCCCCTGTCCCGGCCCCGCGGGAGACAGTGGCAGGCACTTGGGCATGGCCGTGACACCTCTGACCTCGCAGGTGAAGGTGAAGAAGCACATCCAGCTGATCCTGGAGCGGCTGCTGCACACCGTCAACCGCAGGGTGATCGTCCTGGACCGGGAGAACAGCTTGCGGGTGAGTGTCCCCGCCACCGCCTCGCGCTGCACTGGGCATCGGGGCTGCTCTGGGCGACGCGGGAGGTGGAAAAGGACCCGGGTGAGCATTCTGGAAGCAGAGGAGGGGTTTGCGCTGTATTCTCCAGAAAAAGAGTCTGGATCCTGTGAACTGTCAGTTTTACATGCCAAGCACATGTGGGAGGAACGTGCTGGGAGGGGCAGGCGGGCCAGAGCAGGGCTGAGCTGAGGCTTCGCACAGCGGATCTGACCGAGGGGTGGGAAGCGGAGCTGCGGCCACGGCTCTGTGGGCACTTCGGTTTGGATGTGGCGGCAGAGCCAGCGTGCTCGGCCAGGCAGCGAGGAGGAGCGGGACTGAAAAGCTGCTCTCGGTGATGAGGGCGGGCGAGGAGCCGGGTCTGACGGCGCTCCGGGGACCCGGAGAGGGCGGCAGGGCCGTGCAGCCGCAGCAGGGCTGTGCTGTGCCGCGGGGCTGGGCCGTGCCAGGCTGCACACACGCCTGGAGCAGCAGCCTGGCCCTTTGCCTGAGCCTTCCTGGGCTAAGCCTGCAGGTCTGCCATCCTGCTCTTCACCTTGTGAATAAAGACCAGGCTAAACCCGGGTGATAGAGACAGTGGGATGGAAGCTTCACCCTCGCTGGCCCTGCCATGCTCCGCGGTGGATGAGGCCACTTGGGTCTGTGGGTGTCCCGGGTGCTGGGATTGCTCCCACCGATGCCCTGCGGCACCGGCGCTGCCGTTCCCTGCCCGGTGACCCCTCCTCGCACCCCTGAGGGATGGGGCAGGCGTGAGGTTCCCGCAGAAGCATCTAGGCTGGAAAAGACCTTGAAGGTATCTAGTCCAACCATTAGTCCCGGCTCAGCCTGAAGGTGCAGCCCTGGCAGGACGTTTGCCAACACCAGCTCTGCCACGCTGGGGCGGCTCCACTGCAGCTCCCGGCACACGCCCGGGCACAAGCGGCCTCGTGTCCCGGCGGTGCCGCTTGCCCAGGCTGCTGAACACTCTGCCACCGGGGCTCTGCCAGGCGGGCACAGCGGGCTCTCGAGCGTGAGTCACACGTGACTCAGGCAAGAGCCGCAGCTGGGGTTGCGTTTGGTATCGCTTTGCTCTTAGCCTTTGTCCCCAGGCTGCGGGGTTTGGTGCCGGGGGAAGCAGGAGCAGTGAGCTGCTGGCCATGCTCTGCTGCGCTGTGAGCGAGGCGAGGAGGGGCGCTGGGCGCTGTGTGAGAGACGGGGGGGTGATCCGCACTCCGCACTTGCTCCCCTTTCCCCGTGCTGGCCCCGCTGGGCTCCACAAATGCCCCCTGGCAGCTTCCTTGGTGTCATTCACTATTTCCATGCTGCTGCTGCAGCCCCTGCTTCCAGCCTGGGGTCTGAGGCCCCTCAGCCTCAGCGCCGCCGCCCCCTCCCTTGGCACCGCCGGCCCTCCCTTGGCACCGCCGGCCATCCCTTGGCACCGCCGGCCCCCCCTTGCCACCGACAGACTGCAGCCCCTTGAGCACCAGGTGGGTCCTGGCACAAGGTTTGGGGTTCAACGCTGGGTCGGCTCTGGCACATACGAGTGTCCTGCTTTAGGGTGCTGTGGTGGGGGCTCCAGCCAGAGGGGCTGTGCTCAGACCTTCCCACCCCCTGCTCCCCCGTTGCTGGCCGTGGCCCGGCATGCCCAGTGCTTCCCGGCAGAGGCTGGGTGACATTGCCCGCCACTGGGGTCTGGGGACCGCTCGCCCCGCGGTTCCCTGGTGGCGGAGGGTGGCCGGGGCATGTCCCGTCCAGCTCAGGCAGGGAGCAGGTACCATACGTGCTCGGCACACACTGCTGCTGCCAGCTGCTTCCATCTGCGACCCTCGTTAAACTGAGCCGAACGGCTCCTCTCATGGGCAGCCCTGCAGGGGCTGAATACTTGAGCTGCTAATTCCTTTCTGCCTGTAATTAGCCCGCACATCTGCAGCCAGGGCAGCCCTGTCAGCCGGCTGTGAAGTGGGAGAGGGAATTTCTAGCCCCTGCAGCCCCAGGTGCAGGTGGGCTGCGCGGGGCCAGCCCCGGCCCCGCTTGGAGACGCCTGTGGGAAGGAGAGCCCTGTGCCCCGGGACCCCCACCCAGGAGGTTTTGGGGACAGGTCTCTTGTCTCCTGGCTGGGTTCCACAGTGACTGTTTTCCACTATCTCTGGCCCGGGGTGCAGGAGGAATCCTCGGTGCTCCTGGCTAACCCGCGGGCGAGCAGCCCCGGCTGTGTGGTGCAGGGGCGGGCGCATGGGGGGTGCTGACGGCCCTCGGGGAGCCCCAAGGCAGAGGAGGGGCCTAAGGCTGCTCTCGCAGAGGGGCTGTTGGGTGCCTGGGGCCAGGTGAGTGCTATGGCCTGTGCAGGGGAACGGCCGCCAGACCCCTCCTCATCCTCATCAGAACAGAAGTGCACAGGTGGGAGAGGATGTAACAAAAATAGCGTCTCCGTAGAATTTATTGGATTCTCATTAAATACAGCCATTGTTCCCCTTGCCTTATTTACACAGGGACTTCGATACATTAAACTGAACGGTTAAAAATACAAAAGCTGGTGCTACCCAAACCCTACCGTCAGAGGGAGGGAGGAAGAAGGAGATGTGGGAAGGGGGTCAGTGCTGGGACGGTGCCCCCGCACTCCTGGCCCACCGGGCACCGCCAGCTCACAGGAACCAGAAGCATTTGCGCCTGGATTTCTTCGCATCCAGCTTCGCAGGCAGCTTCGTCACTGGCGACGGCTCTTGCCTGGGCGGTGAGATGGCCCCCGCCGCGGCGGGGGAGCTCGGTGTGGCGCCGCCCTCGATATGGCTCAGCACGTGCTGGAAGCGGCCCTCCTGCTGCCGGAAATCGTGCTCCACGCTGCGGCCGGCGGGGCCCAGGGGACGCTGTTAGAGGGGCATCGCCCGCCGCAGCCCCCCCACCTGCTGCAGCTCTCCCCCCGGTGCCCCCCGCCACCCTGTGGCCTGCCGCAAGCCACCCCCCATCCCATGGAGCTCACGCAGCCCCCTGCACACCCCCAGGGCACATTCCCGGGGCACTCGCACTCCCCAGGCCGCATGTGGGGCCAGCACACGCGGCGAGGGACCAGCCCGGCATGGCAGCTGCCGTCCGGGTGTTTCTCTGCAGCTTCTTCCACGGTCACCGGCATTTCCCCCTAGGCAGACTCCCTGGGGTCACCGTGTGCCCCTGCCAGGGGACGTCCTGCTGGCACACCCCCCAGACAGCCCCTGCCCGCTGCCCTCCCCCTCCCAGGCTGTGGGTGGCGGGGGGTGGGGGCCGGACCGGTCCCGAGCCACCGTCCTGCCCATGGCAGTGCGGGCAGCAGCTGGGCACCCTGCCCATGGCAGTGCGGGCAGCAGCTGGGCACGAGGCATCCGTGTGGCTAAACCTGCGGTGCTGGGGCACCCGGGGACAGACCCAAGCGACAGCCCCTGACACAGTGGCAGGGCGTCTTTTGGGATGGGTCACCCGCAGCTGCTCCCCCTGCGCCTTCGTTCTCCCCATCCTCAAAGCCTGGCACTGCCTCTGCCTTTCTCTCAGGCTCGACTGTGTTTTTTCCTCCTTCACCCGCTCGCCGAGGCTCCTTCGCCCTGAACAAGGACAAACAGACTGGGTCCCTCCTCGGGAGCTGATCTGCTGCGAGGGGCTTCCCGCAGCGCCAGGGAGTTGCTCCTGGCACACGGTGCTGGTGGCACCGAGGTGGCACTCGGGCACCGGGTCTCTGGGGTTTCCTGCAGCTGCCTGGCCGGCTCGGGAGCGCAGCGGCTCCTCTGCCAGGCTCATGCCCGTCGGTGCCGTGCTGGGGCTGCTCCTCCCTGGCGAGGGCAGAGGAAGGCTCTGGACTCTCTGCAGTCACCGGCCACGGCAGCGTGTTTCCCTCACGGCTGTTCCTTGGCTGTTGGACCACAACGTTCTCCCCCCCAGCAGCAAACGGCTCCTGGGGGTGCTGCTCCCCTCCCGCAGGCTGCAGGGTCCCTCCCAGCTCAACCAACAACCACCAAGGGGAGCTGGGCAGCTGCCGCTGGGGAGTCGGGCTTATGTGGGGGTTGAGCCCAGGGTCCCTGGGACCCTGGTTAGTGATGAGCCCCCCCAAGAGGGGCTGTGTGTCCCTGGGGCTGGGGCGCCTCATCCTGCTGCTGCTGCCCTCAGTGCTGCTGCCCCTCACGCCACTGGTGACCCAAGGACTTGGTAGTAATGGGGGGCTGTGCCCCCCTCCCCCCCCAGCCCTCAAATTTCCCATAAGTGCTGGAGCCCCCCCAGTGTCCCCACAGCCTCCTAGGCTGGCTGCTGGTGGCCATGGGCCGAGAGCACCCCCTCCTCACACCAGCCACAGCCCCTTGGGCCAGCCAGTGCTGCGGGGGGCTGTGGGGACCAGCACATGGGGAGCCCCCCCGCCACCCTGTGCCCGGCTGACACCTCCCGCCACTCGGCCCTGTGAGGACGCGGGCTGTCCCCAGATACTTCCATCAAACAGGGCGAGCCATGTCCCGTCACGGGGGGGGGCAGCGTGGGGAGCGACAAGCAGCCACCTCCCCCAGATGTGACATCTCCCCCCGCCGCTGCGCCACGTGGAGACAGGCTCGTCAGACCCAGTTAGCACTGAACCCCCCGCGAGCCGCAGCGGGGACTTTGTGGTGTCAGTACGCGGAGAACAAGAGAGACAGACGGGCCCTGCTGCTGGGGGGCAGGCTGGGGCACCCCCAGCCCGGAGGGCTCTGGCAGAGAGCGTGCCTGTCCCCCACAAGAACACAGTGGCTGAACCGCCCCGTGCACACGCGTGTGCGCACACGTGTGTGCCGCAGAGCTCGGCAGCCTGCACTCCCCGGCAGGAGCAGAGGAGCCTGGTTACCAGCGAAAGGAGAACAAGCTGGCCAGACCCCACACGTGCACAGAGGGAGGGGGCCAGACTGCACGGCAGGAGGGACAAACGGACCCCACGGCGTGGGGATGGGCAGAAGGCAGCGCAGCGGGGGGAGAGCTGGCACCGGGGAGCCCAGCCCAGCTCC